ACATAACAATAACAATAACAACAACAACAACAAAAGCAAAACAAAACAAAACAAAAACACAGGTTGGAGTGAATTGATATTTGCTGTTGATTTAAGCTGGGTGGAAACTTTGAATCAATTTCTCATTGAAATATTAAGATCAATTTTATAATCCAAACGAAAGGCATCTGAATTCACTCAGACCAAGAATTTGGATGGTTTGTGCACATTCATTTTAATGGCCCCAAACAATTTATGTACAATTGGGGTGAGTTTGGAAAATTGGTTGAGATCTACACAGATGTCTCAGTATGATCAGATCAATCTTCTAAATCAGTTTGAACACTGGAATTGAGTACAATTATCATAGTTTTCTTAAGAAGTGATTTTTGACTATATTTTTGGAAAATTGGTTCAAATCTATTCAGATGTGTCAGTATGATCACATCAATCTTATAAATCAGTTTGTGCCAAGTTTAGCCTGGCATAGCACATACCATTCAAGCTAGCAGCCATTCCACCTAGCTAATTTCCAACGTGCCTAGTCAGTTTCCTTGCCTTGGGCTCAGGCAACCGAAAGAGGATTTTGCAAAACCGCAAGTGAACTCCCGACAGGTGGTACCAATCAACCTGCGGCAGGAATCAATTACTTTGCAACAAACAGGACTCCCCCCAACCACCACAGGCAAGCAGCCAACGATGAAGACAAGTAACTCCACAGCTCAAGCCGCGCTCAGCCACCCATCAAGAGTAATCGTGGGTCAGGCTCATGGGACCTGCCACGCAAGCAAAGCAGCAGAAAACAAAGGACCCTGGCTGAACCTGCCATTTACCCAGGGCGGGGAGAGCCGAGGGCAAGGGGCGAGCGAAGGATTGGTGAAGGAGGGCAGGGGCAGTCAGGGGTGGTCAGCAGAAGGACTTGCAAAGCATAGGAAACAGGGAGACTATAAAATGCTATGTAACTTATGCCAAGCCAACCCTAGCTTTGTTTGTAACTACATGCATTACACCTGAGTAAATTGATTCTGCAAGAGCCTCCATCTCATGGAGTCTTTATTCAGCGTCAAATGCAGTGACTCTTACATAAACCCAGGGTTTACCACTGAGCTCTACCTGGGAAATGCACCATGGAGCGCTCACCTTCTTCCTTTACTGAACTGCTAGAGGACCCGATCGGCTTCACCAAGAGATGGCCAAGGATGGTGAGGGCATGAGCTCACGGAGCAGTGAGGAGCCTCGACTGGAGATCATGGCAACAGGGCCAGTCCAGAGCAAGGGGAGAGGACCAGAACCCACGGCCATTTTGCAGGATGCCAGGTGATCATTCAGTGTGGGAATGGGCATCGAGGACTCAACAGGATGAGGCGTCACGATGAGTCACAGCTCAGGGTCCCAGAGCAGGGAGCTAGAAGAGAGGATGGCCCAAATGGAGAACCGCGCCGAGCAGCAATTGACTCCGTTGGGCCGCAGGCCATGCAGGGCATGCTGCAAGACCTGCTCCATGGGACTGTGGCCCCAACTG